TTTAGAGTATTTGGCTGCTGTACATTTCCACGTGAAAAGCCACTTTGTTGAGCTATCATTTGTGGCCAGGTTGCTTCTGAAAACAAGATATATAGCTCAGTGGGCCTTACCTGGTGAAATAAAAAATAATTCATGGTTTTTCGTATGTCGACCAATTAGCACTGCAATTCATATACAAATAATACAATTTGTCCACCTTTCTTGTCGAGGGAGAGACGCTCAATAAAATACCACGGTCGTCGGACGGATGCTGGGATGGTGACGGTAAATTCATTTTTGTGGACATTAAACCCTGGAGATATTTTATGAAGGGCAATCTGTTACCCGTGGCTCTCCACAGGAAGGGGGCATAGAGTCAAGGATGCACTGTAGGGGGAAAAAAAATAAAAGAACAACAGGAAAGGGAACAGAGAAAGAGAAATAATGTGAAAGTAGCGGAAAAGGATGGAAAAGGGATGGAGAAACAGGAACTCTGGGTCAGGAAAGATGAGGATAGGGAGGAAGAGGCTCCACTAGGGCCTCCACGCTGCATGGAACGATGTCTGTTATCACAGCGGGTGGCGTTGAGAGGGCAGGGATTTAGAGTGGGGTGGTCACACAGAAGTCAGGCGATTTGCGGGAGGCTTGAGCTGATTTACTGATATAGATAACATATATTTCCTTAAACCGTTGACGATTGCCCTCGAAATGACACCCCAGGCGGAGCGTGCCGTTCGGATGATTGTGAAATGTTGACCGTGGAGTTCTCGTTTTGTGGAACTGCCCAGTTCTTGAATGGACTCGTGACCCCAAAGTGACAATTCATCTACTCACGATGAGAGTGAATCATCCACATGCCTCATCTTAAACTTCTATAGTGTATGCCTGTTGAATTTCTTTCGCACCGTACGTAGCCAACCGTGCTCATCGGAGGTGCGGGAGAAGGACAACAAAAGCAGTTCTAAAGAAATGAGTTTTCAATCGAGATTGAGAAAGTGCATAGCTCCAGTGGCTTCCTGACATCGGAAGGCAGAGCGAGCCATGACAATCACATAAAGCCACACTGCAGAACGAATACTACTACTAATTATAGTGGGCAGCCTGTTTGTCAACCCATTACTGGATTGACGTTTCTCGCCACAAGATGTCAGTCGTGGAGGCTGCCCGCCTGTACTTCAGCATGCTTGGTCAGCGCGTGTTGGTGAATGGGGAGTCCCAGCACTTGATTTGGATGTTGAAATCTACTCATGGGGCTAGTCGTGGCTGGGATTGAAACTCGGGTTGTCGTGGTTCATAGCGTAGCGTGTGTAAACCACTGGCTCTATATCCCCGCAGACAACATGCCACTCGAAGGCGCAGTCTGCCTGTGTACTGATAATAACCGGCTGTGAATGATCACGAATAGACTGTGAATTCTAAAGTGGTTACACACGCGCAGTGTTTACTTGGTTGTGAGTTTCTTTTTAATTGATGATTATGTAGGGGTGTCAGGGGAAGGATTCCCACCAATAGGAGGGTTAGTGGGAGGGGTGATCGAGGAGATATAAGGGGAGAACGGGCGGGAAGAAGGGGCCTTTGGCGGGAACGAGATTGGGACGGCTGGGGACAGGTGTGGATGGGAGAAAATTATTAAAAGACGAAACCCCTGCAATCTTGTGTCGGCTCTCCTTTATAATTATATAAAAAAAACGGCGCCTTTTAACAGAAAAACACATTAATCGGGAATCCCAGCACAACCTTGCGATGGCCGTCAGCTCCCAAGAACCGACGCTCTATGGATTTATTTCGCCTTCGCAATGAGTGACCGGAGTGCGAGTTATGCAGCAATACTTGTATAAGGGGGTGGGGGGATGGGGGGCAGCTTTTTCTGAAGGCTAGTGCTGTCAAAAAAACAGAACAACAGAAAACTGTGGAGGTTAGTATAAAAAAAATTAGCTTTGCTGCTGAACAATTGATATTTAAAGGAGGCTCTCTTGCAGAACTGGCTTGGCCCAGCTTGTTTGCGTTTTTTTGCAGTTCCCCCCCCCTTCTTATCGTTATCTGCAACGCCCCCCCCCTTCTCGGTATCTGCCACGCGCTGGGCCCAGAGCCAACGCCGCCCCACGCTTTCACCCTCGCGCCGCCCTGCAGATCTCTGACCGCATGGCCTTCCTGACGAACGAGGTTGTGGCTTGGTCTGACCCCCAACTCACCCTCGGAGCTGGCGGATTGAATGACGCACGCACGCACGCAGTGATCGACGCATATTGGTCATCAATACTGAGTCGGGTTGTATATTGGAAGGTCATTGTTGGGTTTTCCTCCCTTCCAATTGCGGTATTTTTCCACTTATGCCGGGTAGGCCTCATGCTGTCAAAGAGTCGGAGAAATTTCTATTTGGACTTCTCGCCTAGCTGTGTAACATTGCCCCGTGCTAGAGAATGCCCTCCAGAAGTCGACTTCACAGAACTACTTCTGAGGTCCTTGCAATTGCCCCTAATCCTAATGACTAGCAGTTGTGCCGTCGGTGTTGTGTATCGAGACTTCGTGCCTATTCAGAACTCTCACAGAGTAGTCCATCGCGCCAGTGTCAACTCTGCCTTGTCGATTATCATGACCACCATCATCACTGCCAACCATCACACCACCATCATTCGCACAATGATTGATAGCGCGATGAAGTTGACGGGAATAATAATTTTCACAGCGGCAATACTGATGATGGTATATTATGCGAATACAGGGTGCTTCAAAAAGATGTTTACACTTCCGAGAATTTGCAACAACAAAACAAGGAATGTGGCTCTGGGCTCTGGAGACCACCTGGAGAAGATTCCAGGCTTGTGTTGACAATGATGGCGAACAAGTGGAGACTCTTTGAAGCTACTAACATACATTTGCTATCATCTTCTTAGTTCTTTCGGTAAAGTCACGTAGAAGGGAAGTAATAAAATAATAAAAATAAAACATAATAAAATAATTATTTATTAATGTTTTATTATTTATTAAATAATTATTTTTCCATGTTTTCTTTTTATTATTTTATTACTTCCCTTCTACGTGACTTTACCGAAAGAACCAAGAAGATGATTCCCTGCAGTCACGAAAGCTTTAAATCGAAATTTGCTATCTTATTACAGTGTTATCCGTTGTTTTCCATTAAAAACGATAGTCCCATATAAGTGTTAAAAAAAATTTTAAGCACCCTGTAATAATATTGTAGCATAAATTAGTACACAGCCTATATTCTTGGTTCTTTCGGTAAAGTCACGTAGAAGGGAAATAATACGTGACTTTACCGAAAGAACCAAGAATATGAATCCCTGCAGTCACGAAAGCTTTAAATCGAAATTTGGTACACAGCCTCTTTCAACGTCTGGCCACCATGGAATAGTAGGCCAAAAGCACAATCTAGAAGGGGGGTTCTCTGGAGCCCCCTCCTAGGACACCAGTGCCATGAGCGAGCAACATCAGAGCTGCGCCTTGACCATTGCAATGATTGACAAAGCAGTTTGCGAGTTGATGGTGATGATTGTGGATTGCAGTGCGTGCGGTGACAACCTTGCGATGGAAACCAGAGCCATCATTTGCTGCATTGCCTGCAGACATAGGCTCGGGTTCACTGAAATTGATCAAACGTCGCCCGTCGCAGCTTCCCCGCGGCCGTGTTAGCCAACGCGTGACGGGGGCGATGGGTTATTGGCGGCTCTGCCATCATTCAAACTCTGTCTTCTCGACAGACCTGAGGACGGCTGCTTGCGTTGTGGCCGAAACGTCGTGAGAATTATTTTATTATGTTTTATTTGTATTATTTTATTATTTACATTCTACGTGACTTTACCGAAAGAACCAACAAGAGGCTCTGCCATCGTCGTGATGCGTCCGTCCGCGGCGTTGCCGTTCGCAGACGCGTCGCCTGCGTCTCGCAGTGGTCTCACCTGGCGCGAGTCAATGTTGATCTACTCCTGTGTCATTGCCACCTGCGTCGGTGAGTGTCACCTGGGTAGCAGTGAAGGAAGTGGGTGGTGGGGGGGGGATGTGGTCGGGGTCATACAGTGAAATGAAGAAAGCTCGGACAAAATCAAATGTGACCTTTTTGCCTGTATCACTGTGATGAAATTATGAGAATAGGCTTCAGCCTTTCTGGTAATACAACAGGAGGTGTAAAAATGTTCTAACACCAAATAGGCACCTACTGCAAGGCATCAAGCCTGCATTTACCATACATACTTGTGGCCAAAACATGCAAAAGCAAATGTGCTCGGATAATATACGCATTGTATTTTAAACCGATTGGCCTATACCAGGGGTCGGCAACCAAAATAACAAGAAGAGCCATTTCTTTCCAATTCGGTACAAAATTCAGTATTTCAAGAGCCGCAATGCATCTGAGTACATACGTACTCATCGTCAAGAAGCAGCCCGTAAAGAGCCGCATGCGGCTCCGGAGCCGTAGGTTGCCGACCCCTGGCCTATACCATGGCCTAGTCTCACCGGTGTTAGACCAGAGAACGCCAAAAGGCGAACATCAAAAATAAAAAAAGAGAGTTTGAGTCGCAGACCTGGCAGAGGCCGAACATTAACGTTGGTGGAGGAGGTGGAAGCGATGGAGATGATAAGGTTCGGTGGAGATGCAGCTGCAAGCATTGGTCAAATTCATCTCGCGTTTTGGATCGTATTCGAATTTCACCACGCTTATTTCTGGTTAAATGGACAGTTACGATTACAGAGTAAATGTTGACTCCGCGTGTGTGCGTGCCCGCCCGTATGCGTGCAATTTAACTGCACAGACGCGTGCATTTGCGAACCACTGACGCACAGCTGAGTCGCTGTGACACAGGTGAGGCTCGCTGACACACAGGTGACTCTCACCGATGCACGGGTGACACTGCAACGCAGGTCACACCAACACACAGTTCCACACACTGACACCACGCAGGTGACACTGACACAACTGTCACCTTGACACCCCCCCCCCATCCCGCAGGTGACACTGACACAACTGTCACCTTGACACACCTGTGTACCCCCCCATCCCGCAGGTGTGCCGGCTGCGCCATGCGGGGCTCGTCGCGCCACAAGCTGCTCGTGGCGTGTGGCCTTGCGGCCGCCTCGGCGCTGCTCGTGCTCTACCTGGGCCAGCAGGCCCTCGAGTGCCAGGCCCGGGGGGGGCCCGGCGAGGCCAGGGGGCCTGAGGACCCCCGCTGGCTCGGCTGGGACGAGCTAGCGGGCAAGGAGAACACGAGGAGCAGTGATGCAATGGGGGTGCACAGGTACATACGTACGTGGTGGCGGTGATGGGGGGGGGGGGCGGCGTTGGTGAGGGGCGCCGTGGTGGCGAGATGTTAACTACCTCGCCTGGTATGCAGGAGGTCGTGGGTTCTATCCCGACACCAGAGGTCGCAAACGGGTTTTGATTCCTTACCCGTACCCGTACCCGGCCGGGTACGGGTAGGGTACGGGTATCGGGTACCTGATTGCGACCTCTGGGATGAAGCCATGTTGCAGGCGCGGGTGGGTTGATTCTCGGAACTTGAATTGTGAGAAGAGACAAGACGTTGGGAAATGAGTGACAAACAGTTACTCACCAGTGACTCACGGCCTGCCCGTACCCGGCCGCACCAGGGTCGCAAACGGGTACCCGTACCCGTACCCGGCCGGGTACGGGTAGCCGGGTATCGGGTAGGGTACGGGTATCCGGTACCCGGTTGCGACCTCTGCCCGACACTGACGCCTGCTGTATATTTGGAGTTTGCGTGTCTCTTTTACCATCATCATCACGGTGGCTTGGAGATGTTAACTACCTCGCTTGGTATACAGGAGTTTGTGGGTTCTATCCCGACCCTGACGCCTGCTGTATATTTGGAGTTTGCGTGTCTCTTTTACCATCATCATCACGGTGGCTTGGAGATGTTAACTACCTCGCCTGGTGTACAGGAGGTCGTGGGTTCTATCCCGACACTGACGGCTGCTTTATATTTGGAGTTTGCGTGTCTCTTTCACCATCATCACGGTGGCTTGGAGATGTTAACTACCTCGCTTGGTATACAGGAGGTCGTGGGTTCTATCCCGACCCTGGCGCCTGCTGTATATTTGGAGTCCACGTGTTTCTCTTCGATTCTCCCCGTGGTCGTGTGGATTTTTCTCCGGGTCGTCCGGTTTTTCCCACCACATTTAGAGTCAACATGCTTTTAAATTTCCACGCGATGACCCACTTCGTTGGGCTATCGTTTGTGGCCAGGTCGCTTCTGACAAAATAAGCTAATAGCTCAGCGGGCCTTACCTGGTAAAAAAAAATAGTTTAAAATAGTTTAGAGTATGACGGTGAGGGTGGTGGTGAGAGCGAGGGTGCTGGTGGTGCTGGTGAGGGTGGTGGTGCTGGTGAGGGTGGTGGTGCTGATCAGGGTGAGAGTGGAAGTGTCGTGGTTTGCGCACTGCGCTACAAATCCGGCGACCCGAGTTCAATTCCAGCAAATGGTCAATATCAGTGATGAATGTCTGAACCGTTGCTGGGCCTCCCCTAAGTCGACTCAACCTTAAATGTGAACCCGGTGCAGTGTAAGCATCAGCACTGGGGAGACAAAGGCGGCCGGGTATGGTGTTGGCCACTCACCTCCTCATGTGTGGTGTCAGCCTTGATTGGTGCTCCTTAACTGCACTTGCCCCCAGAGCATGTTAAAGGCTATACGGGGGATCTTTGTTTTTGGCGGTAACGGTGGTGGTGACATTGATAGTGATTCTGATGATGCTGTCCGTGAGTAGTTGAATTGATGGTGGTCATAGCGCTGGTGGCCATAGTGGTGGTCATTTTCGTGATAGTCACGATGGTGGTCATGGTGGTCCTGTTGTGGTCATTGTGGTTGTAGTAGTGAGGGTGGTGCTGGTGAGCATGGGAGCGCTGGTGGTCGTGGTGATGGTTTTGGTCACCATGGTGGTGGTTGTAAGGGTGGCAGCGGTGGTGCTGACTGATAATGATGGCTGTGAGTAAATTCAATGATGTCTGCGCTGGTGGTTATTTCGGTGAAGATCACGGTGGCGGTGGAGGCAGTGGTGATGGTGGTGAGTTGGAACTTGTATAGGAGACTCCCTGGGAATAGGCGGTGTTCTCGGTTGGCAGCTGGTCAGTCGATGGCGGTACGGCATTGTTCTCTGCTCTGACACTGGTGAGACGAGGCCCTATAGAAGGCCGTCTCTGGCTAGACCAATCAGTTTCAAAGACAATGCAAATATCATCAGACAATGTTTGTTTGCACGTTTGCCACAAGTACCGTGTGTGGTTAATGCAGACGTGATTCCTTGCCGAAGGTTTCCGTTTGGTGTTTGAACATCTTAACATCTCCTGTTTTATTGCCAGAAAGTGTTAAACCTATTCTTATTGTTGATAATTTGATACCGGCAAAAAAAGGTGTCCCACGTTGTATCCACAGCATGTAAACGCGTGTCGAACTTCCTTCGCACCGTACGTGAAATAGCCCCAACAGACAGTGAAGTTCTCCTGAGCGAATGATCCCCGCTCGGCATGCGCCGAGATTCGGGACGCGGTGGGGGCGCGACCGACGTTGCGGCCCCGTTCCTTGTGGGTGCAGGCGGCAGGGCCTCGTGGTGTTTGACCCGGTGAGGAGGGAGTTCCGCTACAACGAGTCCATCCCCATCATCTTCATCGGGGGCTTCCCACGCAGTGGCACCACGCTCATGCGGGTCATGCTGGACGCACACTCACAGGTGAGGAGGCGGTGGTGGTGGTGGCGATGATGGCGCGCTAACCCACACGGCGACGCACGGTACACTCAGCATCGTGTGCACCCGGCAGGGTGCCCCTGGCACGATGCACCCTGCCCAGAGGTCGCAAACGGGTTTTGATTCCTTACCCGAACCCGTACCCGGCCGCACCAGGGTCGCAAACGGGTACCCGTACCGAACCGGGTAGGGGACGGGTACCCGTACCCGTACCCGTACCCGATACCCGGCCGGGTACGGGTTGCCGGGTATCGGGTAGGGTACGGGTATCGGGTACCCGATTACGACATCTGGGATGAAGCCATGTTGCAGGCGTCGTGAGAATTGTTTTATTATGTTTTATTTTTATTATTTTATTACTTCCCTTCTACGTGACTTTACCGAAAGAAACAAGAAGATGAATCCCTGCAGTCACGAAAGCTTTAAATCGAAAAAAAAAAGAGACAAGACGTTGGGAAATGAGTGACAAACAGTTACTCACCAGTGACTCACGGCCTACCCGTACCCGTACCCGGCCGGACCAGGGTCGCAAACGGGTACTCGTACCCGTACCCGGCCGGGTATGGGTAGCCGGGTATCGGGTAGGGTACGGGTATCGGGTACCCGATTGCGACCTCTAACCCTGCCCCTGGCAAGATGCACCCTGCCCCTGGCAAGATGCACCCAGCACCACGTATTTGGCACACTGCACCAAGCAGCATGCACCATTTATCGAGTATCCAGCACCAGCGCCCTGAAAACAGCACTCGGCACTCGGCTTCCCACGCCTCTTCCTGCCTGGGTAGGTACCGCGAGCGGTCGGGAGACGTAGCACCATGCACCCAGCGCCCAGCGTCCCGCACTCGGAGCCCTAAGCCCAGCACTCGGCACCTTACACCACCCAGCGCCCAGCATCTTGCAGGGATCGCTTTGCACTCATCACCCAGCACCCTGCACAATTCACTGTGCGGCACATTGCAACCGGCGCTGCAACGAACTCGGTACCCAACCTTGTACACCGCACCCAGCGTGCCGCCGCTCCCCCGTGGCTCTCCCTGGCGCCGCGGGCAGGAGAGACGCAGGTGGAGCCCCAGGGGGTGATGCCCTGCAGGTGGAGCCCAGACACACTGCGGCACGGCGCCCCCTGCCCCTCGCTCGTGCCCAGCACTCTCTCCCTCTCTCTCCTCCGCCGCTCTCCCGTGTCCCTCCGCTCCCCCCCCTCCCTCCGACCCCGGGCAAGGTGCGCTGCGGGGAGGAGACGCGGGTGGTGCCGCGCGTGCTGGGCATGCACCAGATGTGGATGAAGTCGGAGAAGGAGCGCGTGCGCCTGGCCGAGGCCGGCGTGACGGACGCCGTGCTGGACGACGCGGTGCGCGCCTTCGTGCTCGAGATCGTGGCCAAGCACGGCGAGCCGGCGCAGCGGCTCTGCAACAAGGTGGGTCGGGCCGTAGGGCGGAGGAGACCCCCCCCCCCCCCACGGCCGGGTTCGGATAATCGTCACCGGTGTTTGGCGAGCGCCTCACGAAGGGGGTGGGTGGCCAGCACCGCGCCCGGCCGCCTTTGCCTCCCCGGTGGCGACGTATCGCTCACCGCACCGGGTACTCGCTCGAGGCTGAGTCGACCTAGAGGAAGCGCCCAGGACCAGGTTCAGACATTCGTCACCGGCGTCGGTGGCCGTGAGCGCGAATCGAACTCGGGCCGCCAGGTTCGAAGCGTGGCGCGCTAAACCGCCACTGTGCCCCCCCCCCCCCCCGTGCCGCCCCTCGCCCGCCCGCGCAGGACCCGTTCGCGCTCAAGTCGCTGTCGTACCTGGCGACACTCTTCCCCGAGAGCCGCTTCCTGCTGATGCTGCGCGACGGGCGCGCCTCGGTGCACTCGATGATCTCGCGCCACGTCACCGTGTCGGGCTTTGACCTCTCCAGCTACCGCGACTGCCTCTCCAAGTGGAGCCGCGCCGTCGAGGGCATGCATGCGCAGTGCCTGGCCGTGGGGCCGCGCCGCTGCATGGCCGTGCGCTACGAGACGCTGGCGCTGCGGCCCGAGGCGACTATGCGAGAGGCGCTGGCCTTCCTCGGCCTGCCCTGGGAGGCGGCCGTGCTGCACCACGAGGACATGATCGGCAAGGCGGGCGGCGTGTCGCTCTCCAAGTGAGGGGCCGGCCGCGTCGCGCGCTGGTGGCGGTGGCGGTGGCGGTGGCAGCATCGGTCGTCGTGGTAGTTGTGGCGGCCGTGGGATTTCGCCATATTACTGACACCCCAACGGTTGTCAACCCACACGGCCTTTCAGGGGGAGAGCAGGCTGCTGCATGGATACCGCGTGGCAGAAATAAAAAATGCGCACATTGTGGCGATAAAGCACATTAATGCACAACTTCAAACGGATGCCTTACTGGCACCGGGTTGACTCGACTAGGCGTGGACACGTGGTCTGTGTTGTTCCCTTCGTGACCTTGTCGTTAGGGGGGGGCGGGTTGTTTGACCATCCTTCACCATGGGGTCTGGGGGGGCACGTCGGTGTACACAGTGGTGGCGCGAGGTAGAATAAAACCAAGCAAAAGCTGAGCGCCCTAAGCAGCTCAAGAGGCCCGTATTTGCGTCACAATTCTGAGTTGATCAATTATAAGCCTATCAAATATCAGCGCGAGTGTTGTGGTTCGTGCTCTGTGCTATAAACTCAAAGGTCCACCTTTGATTCCTGCTTACGGCCAACACCAGTGACGGATAACTGAACTAGTTCTGGGCCTTAAATGAGTACCCTGTGCGGTGTGTAAAAACTTCAGCACTAGGGCAGTAAAGGTGGTGGCTGGGCATGATCCTGGTCTGGCCACCTTACCCCCTCGTGTGCCGTTCCAGCCGTCATAGCTGCTCGTTCACAGTGGTAATCTTCGCCTTTGTTGTGCACGTGTCTGTGGTTTTTGTGTGTGTGTGTATGTTTGTTTGTTTCCTCTGAGAACCTCAGGAATTCATGCGGCACACCCCAGGTCTCAAAACAAGGGGTTCAAATGTATTGCCGTGCATGTGTGAGCGTGCATTCAGAACACGACTTCAAGACTTGCACACGCGTGTACAGCGGTGTGTCCAAGAGGAGGTGCATGCTGGGGGGGATTGCGTAAGGGGACAATTGCTTAAGGGGACAATTGCCTAAGGCGACCTAGGGTAGGCCGAGGACTGTAGGGTGTCACGGTGGCTAGGAGATGTTAACTACCTCGCCTGGTATACAGGAGGTCATGGGTTCAATCACGACCCTGACGCCTGCTGTATATTTGGAGATTGCATGTGTCTCTCTTCCCGTGGTCTCGTGGATTTTTCTCCGGGTCCTCCGGTTTTCCCTTCCACATTTAGAAGCATGCGTTTAGACTATTTGGCTGATACAAATTTCCACGTGATAAGCCACTTCGTAGAGCTATCATTTGTGGCCAGGTCACTTCTGAAAAAGAGCGATGCAGCTCAGTGAGGCCTTTCCTGGTAAACAATTAAATAGTTTGGTTTAGTTTACTGGTTCAAATATCACTCGCCACTGACCTTATCTGTGGCCGGGAATCAGGGTTGCCAACTGTTCCCCAGACCAAACCTGGATGTATTTCTCAGTCGGAAAAAACACCGTCACGAAACCTGTGCAGCAATACCACACCAACAGATATTGGTACAAACGCAATCCTGCCACCCGAACACAGATGCCCAACCGAGGCAGGTTGCGACCCCGCAGGGAAGAGCGGAGTGAGGGAGGAGAGGTAGGAGAGCCCGTGGATGGGAGGAGAGTGAGATGAGAGGGAAAGATAGACTGAGGTGAATCCATAGCAGTCGTGGATCCAAGGGGCGGGGACCGGGAGGGGGGGGCGATGGGGGAGATTGCCCATACCCCCTTTGTCGGCCCGAAATTTTCTATTTCATTGATATTTGTCAGCGAAAAAACATTGCATTTTTATTTAGTTTGTTTAAAATTAGCCACGGGCACGTCCTTTGGATGTGACCATCCGTCCTATCGGCCAGCCAGCCAGCCAGCGAAACCTTTCTAGAACATAAAATGAGGTTTGAAATTTCAGGACTGCATACCACTACTCCCCCCCCCCCCCTTTGCCCCCCCAGTCTCGGAAGTTTCTATGTCCAGCTTCGGTCCCTTGCGGACCTCTCGGTTGATCCGGCATTGGATTGGAAACCAACGGAAGGATCCGGCAGAATTGGCACGGTGTTTCGGCAGAACGCCTTACAGAGCCTTAACGGGAGGTGTTTGTGCTTACAGAGCCGGTGTTTGTGCTTGCCGTCTCCCCCGTGTGTCTCGCGGCAGGGTCGAGCGCTCCACCGACCAAGTGGTGAAGCCGGTGAACCTGGAGGCGCTGGCGCGGTGGGTGGGACAAATCCCGCATGACGTCGTGCGCGACATGGCTGAGGTCGCCCCCATGCTCGACCGCCTCGGCTACGATCCCCGGGCCAACCCGCCCCGCTACGGCACGCCGGAGAGCAGGGTGGTGGACAACACGCGCAAGGTGGGGAGGAATTCCCGCTCAACTCGCCCGCCCGCCCGCTAGCTTGCCTGCCCGCCCGCCTGCCCACCCGCCGCTGCCAAGAGTGCCCTTGGGGCGCGCGGCCCTGCGACGTGCGCTTCGGGTTGTGTGCCACGGCCGTTGCTTTGACGCCACGGTACAAGCCGAAAGCGCGTGGGCGGGCAGACGCAGCGCAACCACGCGGCGGGGATCTCTCGGGATATAGATGGCGACGGCTTTCGGGAAGCTTTCATCCGGCAGTGGATTGACCATGGCTGATTGTGATGATGATTGGGAGTATTACCGTGCCCCCACCTATTGAACAGCAGGGCCCATCCCGCCCAATATCGTACCCATGTGCTGAGTCCCCTCCATTCATAGGTAGCTACAGATGTCACTTGGGAGTTCATTTCCGAGTGATATCTGAACCGTTCCCGTGATTCCCCCACCCCCCCCCCCCCCGTCTTCACCAACCCGTGCCGACCAGCATGGTGAAGTATGGTCAACTTCCCCCCCCCCCATAACCGACAAAGCAAGCACAGGGAAACCTGCATACAGCAGCGGATTGCCAAAGGGCCGTGGAATATAAGTTCCTCTGGTCGCCTGCGTGTAAATTTTCTAAACGCCTACATTTCGCGTGATGTATAATTCACGCAATGCCCCCTCTGACATTTGGCGGTACCTTTGCCGTAAGCTGTGGACTTTAAATCCACATGTTGCCTCTGCCGCGAGGATTATTTACAATTTTTATTTTCAGCGTGACAGCCCTCGCCGAGAGTGACTTACTTGTGGAGTTACCTTGTCCCTGTCGTGCAATTCCCCCACTGCCCCCACCACCCCCCACACACCACGCAAATATTTCCAGTCCTTTTCTAATGTAATTTTTTTTCCACCGTTTAATTCTAATTGTTCTCTCGGCGTTGTGCACTCAGATAAAGTAGCGATTCGCAACTGTCGCAAAGCAGTGCATCGGCTCCACGTGTTACAGAATGGTTCGTGAAAGTAGATTTCACAGAACTCCTTCTGAGATCTTTTCAAGTGACCTCTTTTTTGCTTGTACATGGGATGGGTGCAATTTTTTTAAATGTCCTGCTCACAACCAAATACTCATCGTTAGACAGTCAAACCGATCATTTCCACTTCTAAATGATCAGAGTTGGAATGTAGCCAAACGAAGTGCAAAAGCACGTGTAATGTCAAATGGATTTTTATATTTTTTGTGCGCGTAGTCATTAGGTGTTCAGGCTGACACTACCAACTCACCACTCTTGAGAATCCGGTTCAATCTCGGAGCAGTGGAAACCTGGATTCAAAGCCAGGATGACGGCGGTGCGGGCTCAGTGCTCCGATCCCCGGACCACCGAGTCACGCCTACATCTTCAGTTCTTATTCACAGATCGGAGAAGAAATAACCTTCGCGCGCAATGTTGCAAAAGTTTTGCACCGCAATTCTGTGCCAATGTCTCCACGTGGTCAGTAATAGTGATGTGTGACACCTATTGCAAGACATCAAGTTTGCATTAACCACACATGCTTGTGGTAAGACATGCAAACAAACATGCTTTGACAAATGCACACATCGTCTTTGAAACGGATTGGCCTACAGGAACTTATTTTTGGACGAGTCAACCTATGGGTGGCCCAGAGAAGATAGATTCTCAGAAACAGATCGCCACTGAATGGTGTTGTAGTATGTAGTAAGTATATGGGAGGCTTGACGACAGGATCGGAGGCACACTTGTTTATTACACCAACACAGTAATTACAGGTCACTTGGCTACAGGGATTCACGACAGCTAACCCCTCTAACCTAAGCCAATTCCTCCACTACGGGGCTAGGGGAGGCTATCTGTCCCAGCCTGGTTAAGCTGGGACCCCGGCACCCTGAGTCACCAGACCAGCTTAGTCTGGGCTCTCGGGGCCACGCCACCGGCTTGCCCTGGTCGGCCCTTATAAGGACAGCGAGCCAGGGGAGCTCTGGGGCCTATTCTAGCAGGTCTTCCTTCTTCTCTGGTTAAAGCTGAGTCCCCGACCTCGAGCCCTCGAGCTCATCACCTTTTATAGGACTCGCTCCCGAGGGGGGGCCCGTGGGGGATACACATGCGGACGTCGGTGCGAGCGCCACCCTTGTGTACGGCCGTAACCCCGCCCCTTGTGTTTGTTGGCCATCCGTGGCCATGCATAATCACACCTCAACATTCGTAGCCATGCGCAATTACACCTCTACATCACCCCCCCCTGTACAGCTCGCAGCCGTCCCTGGCTGCAAAAAAAATCAGAATAAAGGTGCATCCCTCACGAAAACCCCGTGTGTGTGCCTCGCGTAATTTTTAACAAGAACAAGAGAACCTTAACAAGAACAACAACAGGAAGAGAGAGAGAGAGAGAGAAAAAAAATAACCCGACGCACCCCCCCCGAATAAATACCCCAAAACCAACATATATACACACACTCCGGACGCCACCCCTCCCATTGTCCGCAAGGCCCCCCAACGGCCGACCTCACAATAGTCTGCGCGTTTTGGCGCGCGTTCTCGCGGCGGGCCCGTCACAAGGGCCCGTCCTGGCACGCTCATTGACGGTTGTTGACGGTCCGGGTGCAAGAGAGTCAGGCGTCGCTGCCGAGTGACCCCCGACCCCTCCGGGAGGGGTTGGTGGGTGTGGACCCGTCACTCCTGTTGCGCCTGGGGACGGAACAGTTGATGTCGGGTTAGGCGAGTGCAGCGACGTCGGGGAGTCGGCGGAACCCTCACACGTTTGGCCATGCGTGTGTGTGTGTGAACCACGGGGCGGCGCGATGAATGCTTTCAACCTTGAGGGGTGCACATACCACCTGCGCCTCCCCCATTTGACGCGAACACATTGCGGCCGCAAGACCTGTACGACCTCCACTGGCCCCCGCCACGGCCGTACCAATTTTGACGAGGTTGCCAGCGGCACCTGGGGACAGTGCAACCACGCCTTGTCCCCTGGTTTCCATTTGATCACCTGTACCCGCCCCAACCGAAGCCTCTCGTTCGCCCTCTGGCGGAGTTCAGAATTTTGCACGGCCGCTTCCCGCGCCTCAGACAATTTGCTGATGTTAAATTTAACGTGTTCGGACAAGTTAGACTTCGCCTGGGGCGCCGAGAGCTTCAGCTGGGTCGTCACAGGGGGGTTAGCCTCGCGCCCATACATCAAAAAGAAAGGGGAAAATCCGGTGGCCGCATGGGGAGCCATTCTGTAGGCCTGCAACACACCGGCTATACGAAGGTCCCAATCCGTCTGGGATACTGACACCTGCTGGGACAGCATAGACGTGATGGTCCGATGCAGCCGTTCCACCATCCCGTCAGTTTGTGGGTGATACGGAGAGGTCCGAACCTTCTCCGTACCCAAGAGGTCGCACACCTCGCGTAGGAGTTTACCAGAAAAATTCCTACCCTGGTCAGTAAGCAGCCGTTCCGGAGCACCCTTGTCGAGGACATAGCCCTGGACAAAGGCTTCCGCGATGGCTGCTGCCGACTGGTTGGCCAGGGGCCAGGCCATAGGCCATCTCGTGAAGTACTCGACCCCCGTTAATAAATACCTATTGCCCCTGGGCGTAGCGGGAAATGGGCCGAGTATGTCCAGAGCGACGAGCTCGTTAACCCGGGAAACCTTTATGGACTGCAGCGGAGGGTTGGACCCCCTAGCAGGTGGCTTCCTCTGCGCGCATTGCGTGCACGACCCCAGGAGATCCCCCACGTCCTTTGCCATGCCCGGCCAGAAGAAATCGAGCTGGAGTGTGGCAAAGGTCTTGTGAACCCCCAAGTGCAGAAGCCGCTCATGAACAGCCCATACCACCTTACCCCTTAATGCTGCAGGCACCACGAGCCGCTGGCGGCGGGTTTTTCCATCCCAGTGCATTAAAAGACCCTGGAACAACCCCCACGAGTCAACGTTCGCCACCCCCTGACCAGCCCCCCCGACGCGACGGCGCAGAGCGAGGAGGGAGGTGTCCTCCATTTGGAGGCGTCCCCAGTCCGCGACCGACAACCCCAGCAACGAATCCCTCCCTTCTTGCTCGATAGGACCCGAAGCCGAAGGCGCATCGGCAGCGGCCACGAGGACCGAATCGGTGGTGACGTTCGGGGGCCTACAACGCCCCGAACCCAAGAGGCACGCGCACTCCGAAGTGGGTGGCAATCGTGACAGGGCGTCAGCGTTCGTGTGGCGGACACCCTTACGATATGTGGTGACAAAGTCATAGTCTTGGAGGATCTCCAACCATCGAGACAACTGGCCCGATGGTTGTTGAACCCGCAGGGCGTACTGTAGGGCCGCATGATCTGTACGGACGGTGAACCGCCGACCGTACAGATACGGGCGGTACTGCTGAATGAAATAAACAATCGCCAATAATTCCCGACGGGTAACGCAGTACCGCTGTTCGGCTGGAGACAGTACCCGACTACCGTAAGCCACCACATGCTCTACGCCCCCAATGAGCTGGGACAGCACGCCCCCGATGCCCGTGTTACTTGCATCTGTATCGAGCAAGAAGGGTTGTGAAAAATCGGGGTAATTCAACGGCGGAGCCCCCACCAAAGCATTCCGGAGGGCGCGAAAAGCAGCCTCCTCCTCCGGCCCCCAATGAAACCTGACTCCCTTGGACGTCAAGGCATGCAATGGTTTCGCAATCGTAGCGAAGTCAGCCACAAACCGTCGATAATACGACGCGAACCCAATGAAACTCCTGACCTCTCCCACCGAGGTGGGAGTCGGCCAGGAGCTGACGCATTCCGTTTTGGCGGAATCAGTGGATATCCCCGAGCGCCCAACAATGTGACCCAAATACCGCACCGATTCGCGGAGTAAATGGCACTTTTGCGGTTTAAATTTCAAATTGGCAGCCCGCATCTTGAGAAAAACAGCACGCAACCTCTGGAGGTGTTCCTCGAAGGATTTGCTAAAGACGATGACATCGTCTAAGTAAATCAAACACGAATCCCATTGCAAGCCTGCCAAGACCAATTCCATTA